GAAAAATCGTCCCCAGACTATTTTTTGACTATTTTTGAATATTCCTCCTGTAGACGGACAGGCCCGACATAAGGTCGGCCTCCGAAGCCAGCCCTGGCCCAGATCCACCACTGCCGGCAGCCGCTTCCGTGCGCCCCGGCGGCATCCTGCAGGTAGGCCTGCTGCTCGGACACGAGGGCGTGCCGCACGAAGAACTGCTGCAGGCGCTCGTTGGTCAGGTTGATCAGGAGCTGCTCCAGGCCGTTCCTCACAGTAGCATTGGAGGACAATCCACCCCGACCCCGCTCATCGGCGTTCGCCAAACGGCCCTGGGTGTTCGCTGAGCAGCCCTGCCCTGTTCGATTCCTGCCTCGGGGTGCGTTTACAAACTGGCTTCGCTTGGCCGAATGCTACTGTTGTGTGTGTGTGTTTTTCCCCCTGCTTTCTATCCCAGCGTGCCCACGGGGAGACGGCCGAGGCCCCGAGGCCCCGGCGCCGCGCGGAGCGCGTCCCTTCATTTCCGGCAGTAGTGGGCATTACAGGGCGGGGGGGAGGGGCCAGCGGGGGGGTATAATGTAACGCCTCCCCCCCGCCATGCGCACGGCGGCAGTGCCCGGAGCGCACCGGGGGGGGAGGGGCGTTACGTTGCAGGGGGGAGGAGGGGGGGCGGGGGCCATAATGCCCCGTATGCCCCAAACAATAAACAAACACGCCCGTGCCTGCTCGAAACGGGCGACCTTGCCCCCCTTCAGGCCCCGGGGACCCTCACGGGCCAGCCCGGCTCGAAACACGCAGCAGAAGATGGGGCCCAGGGCTCTGGTCGAATCTTTTGACGCTGGATTGCGTCCCCGAGGCTGGAAAGCCGCCGAGAGCCGCCGGAAAACATCCGAATCTCGAGCCCGAAATTCCCAACCTTCCTCCCTCGGCGCGACGCCGAGCTCCTCTGGAGGCTCTCGAAGCCGTAGATGTCCAGCAAGCCCAACTCCGCCCCCGCGCCGTCTCCTGGGCAGACCGACAGACAACTCGATCCTGACCACAGGACGGGCCGACAAAGCAAAGGTGGGCGGGAAAGCGAGGACTCCAGACATGCGACGCCCTGATTTGTTCAATGGGAGTCCCAGCCCCTGCCCCAGGACCAGCTCTTCATCCTAAGTCGTTCTCTGAGGGTCCCAGAGCCCGGCGAGGGCCCTCAGAAATTGAAAATTGCCAAACAGCTTCCCGTCGTGATTTCGCTTACATCGCGAATCGTGCCTGGGAGCGAGAGGGCGAGAAAGGGAGGCCGACAGGCAATGGCAGACCGGGCCGACAGGACGGAGGGACAACGATACCAACGAGAACGATCACAATAACAATAACGATAACAATAACCACGACAACAACGATCACCACGATCACAACTATAACGATAACCGCGATAATGTGGTTACCATTGTTATCGTTGTGATCGTTGTTATCCGTATCGCTATCTTTGGGGGGGGGAAGAGGGAAACCAAACCGGGGCTGACGGAGGCAGTGCTCCTGCCGTCGCCCCCGGGCGCGGTGCCTGCACTCCGAAGGCTTCTTCTGCCTTGGGGATGTTGGCCCTGACTGGCGGGGAGTTCGGCACGGCGGTTCGCGCGGCGTCGGCGCGCGCAGAGGTGTTTGTCACCACGCCGATCGTTCAACCTTGAATCGATCGCGGCGCCGACCGTTCGAAATTGAATGCCGTCGGGTCCAGTGGCGTCACCGTGTCCCTCGAAACTTCCGCGTCGCAGTATTCAGCCTTGAACGCCTTCGCCGACATCGCGGGCGCGCCAACACCGCATGAACCTGCAGCAACAATGCTCGCTAACTCCTGCCAGGGACCCGAGTACCCGGATTTCGGGTTGGGGGGGAACACTTTTTTTTTGGTTGCGACCGCGAGCGGGCACCCTCACGGCGTCGGGAAAGGTCGTGCTACGAGAAGAGGCCGGGGGTCACAGCGCAGCTGCCGCCGGCCAGACGTAGGGACAAAGGGGCCACTACACAGCGCTGCGGCTGCGCAAGAGCGGCGAAAACGAGGCGGAGCGGGACAGAGCGGGAGAGAGCGACGGGGGGGGGGGGAGCGACGGGGGGGGGGGGACACGCGCTCCACCCGGGTTTTTTTTTCCAGGGTTCCATGGAGGAGGAGGAGGAGGAGGGAGGAGGAGGAAGGAGGTAGGAGGAGGAGGAGGAGGCAGGAGGGAGGAGGAGGAGGAGGAGGAGGAGGGGAGGAGGGGAGGAGGAGGAAGAAGGAGGAGGAGGAGGAGGAGGAGGAGGAGGACGAGGAGGAGGATCTTGGCGGCGCTCCGCGCCGGGCGCCGCCTCTGCGAAACCTCCGAGAAAGGCCCCGCACGCCAAGGTCCCGCACGACAGGGGCCCCTGGGGGCCCGCGCGAGGAGGTCCCGCAGGATCGGGTCCCACGAGGAGGGCTCCGCCCAAAGTTTCTGCACTGGGCAGAGGACGCACCGCAGAACGCACCCGACAAAGGGCACAGGGTCACCCAGGGGGGTGCCACGAGCTTTCTCCCCGCGCCGCATCCTGGCACGTTTGCGCAGAAGGCCGCGTTCATCCGCGCCACGAGTCTCCGGAAGAGGCGGCTGTACAGGGTGACGATGAAGCTGCGGAGCACACACTCCACCTGCGTCCTCGTGCGCTCGACCTTGGGCGCGCCCGACACCCCGACCCCGACCCCAGAGCAGGCCACTGCTGCCAGCCCTTCCGACCTGGCCCCCCTCGATGCCCACGGGTGGGCGTGCGATGAGAAGCCAGACGCAGTGGCGGGCGTCGAGTGTGGAAGGGACAGTGGGCACGAAGGGCCGAAAGACGGGGTGAGAAGAGATCATGACGAGGAGTATGAGGACGATGTCAACGAGGGTCATGTAGGAAAGACGGATGACGTGTACGTTCGCTGATGCTTAGAGACGCATGCTGTGGAACAATGCTCGTTGATTTATGCGAACGTGCTGCGCAAAAGAACATACTAGTGACGCACGCCCCATCGGAATCGAACCGGAAACTTGAATGGAGCGGTCCTTCGAAGTCTGGCAACGAGACAAACAACCACTACGTGACACAGAGAGCTCGATGGGACCCGAAGACACTACAATTGGTACCTTGCGGCACGGTGGCTTATACGCCGGAACCGAAAGGTTGCCCCGCATGTTGTTGCAGTGACATGTCTGGGGTCTACGCATTGGCATTTGCAGTGTCTGATCATGGGCATGGTAATGTTACTTGTTCGCATCCTGGCAAACGAACTGGGGATACGCTTCCGTCCTCGCCTGAGAAGCCGCTTCAGCATAGGATCCGCACGGCCAGCCATAGAGTTCAAGCATGCATATACATGTAGGACCATCAAGGGTTGTGGCCCTGTGGGTAGAGTGTGGGACCATGCGCGGCACACAAACGTGCCAGGCCACTCGAAACCATGCTCGTGGGCGAAAAACATATCTGTATCCGCGGCCTCGTGGGCCGGTCCCCTCTAGGCCGCGACCCAACGAATTTGAAGCGTTTTCTCGCGGATGCCCCGTGCGGAACGACTCCGCGCGACGGCGTGTATCCGCGGGATCGCGCCCCGGCGGAATCCGGACCGCGAGGGCGCGGATGTGGAGACGTTCGCCGCTCGTGACATGCAACATTGTGCAACTACTGTTCTGTATGGGGCGTCACTAAATGGGGGGGCGACAGATGGGGGGAGAACTTGTATACATTTCGGGACCTAAAGGCCCTCCTTGCCTGAAGGGCCCCCGGCAGCCGCCAGGGGTCTCTCACTCCCCCGTTCGCGCCCAGGTTGTGTAAATGTCGCAAGCTGTTTGCCTGTGTTGGTGGCCAGACTCGTCTGCGTTCAGAACATATTGTGAGGATGTCTCAGGCGAGGCGCCAGTTTCAGCACGCCCAAGGGGAGCCGCCAGGGGCTACATCACGGGTCCGTTCGCGCCCAGGTTGTGGAGATGTCCCAGAATAGATTGTGAGGATTTCTCGGGCCAAGCGCTGGTTTCAGCGCTCCACGGAGGAGCCGCCAGCGGGTATACCACGGGTCCGTTCGCGCCCAGGTTCGGGGGGATGTCTCAGGCGGTCTGCCTGTTTTGGTGGCCAGACTTATCTGCGTTCAGGAAAGACTGTGAGGATGTCTCGGGCAAAGCGCTGGCTCCAGCAACCCAAGAGGGGGCCGCCAGGGGAGGTATACTATGGGCCCGTTCGCGCCCAGATTGTGTGGGGACGTCTCAAGCGGTTTGCTTGCTTTGGTGGCCGGACTCGTCTGCGTTCAGAGCAGATTGTGATGATGTCTCCAGCGAGGCGCTGGTTCCAGCACCCCGTTCGCGCCCAGACTATGGGGATGTCTCCGGCGGTTTGCGTGTTTCGACCCCCCAGGCTTTTTTGGACTTGTATTACCCAGACGCTTCCTGATCTCACTCACTCACTCACCTCCTCCCCTTTCTCCTCCCCTTCCTCCTCCACTTCCTCCTCCTCCTCCTCCTCCTCCTCCTCCTCTCATTCAGAAGCATTCGCACTCAACTGTACTCATCAACATCTCTTCCTCGCTCGGACTCACTCATCACACTCAGACTCACCCATACTCAGACTCACTCGTAGCCAGACTCACTCATACTTAGACCCAATTGCATTCAGACTCGCTCACACTCAGGCGCACGCAGACATAATCTAGCCCACACTCGGACTTACTCACACTCAGAGTCGCTAGACTCACTCATAAGCAAACTCACTCGTACTCTGACTCGCTCATACTCAGACTCATACCTATTACACTTTTGCTCAGATTCACTTACGCTCAGACTGACTCCCACTCAGACTCACCAATACTTAGACTCACCCACCCTCAGGCTCATTCACACTCCGACTCGCTCGTACTCACACTCGCTCGCACTCAGACTCGTACTCGCCACGCCCATACTCAGACCCACTCATCCTCAGACTTACCCACACTCAGACTCACTCGCACTCTGACTCACCCATACTCACGCCTAACGTATGCCCAGGCGCACTCGTAATACAATTCTCATATCTAAATTCACCCACGCTCAATCATCCTTGGGTTCACGCACACTCAGGCTCACTCGCTCTCAGATCACTCACACTCAGATCCATTCACAGTCTTCTGTGTTTTGTTTGTTCAGTGCTCCCTCGCTCTTCACCTGTGCTTCCCTTACCTCTCTCCTGTAAAAATGCCCAAGGGAGAGGGAGGAGGATAAGGAGGAAGACGTCAATAAAATCGTCGCTGTCGCCGTCGTCGCACCCGTCGTCTACGCGGACTCGCTCTCACACCCAGATGCCCACAGGCAGAGTTTTAAAGCGAGACGTGACATGAATATGAACTGCGCATCTTAGGATCTCCACGTCGAGTGATTATTTGTTCCCCTATCTTCGTCCTGCTTGGCTTTCAGAGCGCCCAGGACGGCCCAAGAGACTCTCAAGAGGAAAGGCCCAATGGGCCCCCCAAAAAGTCACAAATGGGGCCCAAGAAGGGGAACACGAATTGGCCTGTAGAGCCCTCCACCCCAATACTGCCCCATAGACGGCCTCCAGGTCCCCCAAACGCGCCCAACAGGCCTCGAGAAAACCCCCAAGATGTCCTCAGGAGGTCGCCAAGAGACACCACGGTGACATCGACCAACAACTGCCGATTCTCCACAAGATGGACATCATCGTGGAGTACCATATGTGCCAGAATGCCAGCCAGGGAACCGACGAGCTTTTCAACCAAAGTGCCGATGTCTATGACGCTGATACGGGAAAGCGGTCGATACGACGAAATGTGGAGCCTTCCCTACATAAGCATAACGCTGAACCAACACGGGCTTCAAATGTGGGGCCACCGAAAGTTGTTTTTTCAATCCTCTGCCCTGTCCTGGTGGACAGCCACCTGCTGGACGCTCTCTAGATGGACGTCAGAACGCTTCTTTCGTGACGCAACGAAGGAATAGTTCATCACGGCTACGACGGCATCGACCATCCTTCCGATGAAAAGTTCCGGATAGGTATCAACATCCTTTGGCGTTGTGCTGAACACTAATGGCGTGAAGCCGTTATTCACCGAATGAGATGAGGAGGTCATTCTGCCGATCCCAACCGCTACCGAAAACACAGGAGTCTACGATGATGCACGCGTTTTTCAATGTGGAGCATCGATGATTTCGTCCTGTTATGTTTCCTGGGCTGTTATCATTCATTCCGCTTTGGGGAGACAAGGCAATGTAGTTGGTAATGTGCAAGGTTTAGTTCACGGCGCTCCTCTTCAGACATGCAAGTTCGCTCGGGGCAACAGCAGTGTGGGTCATTCAAACCTTCTGGTACATTCCGACGGCTACGTGCATGGAGGACTAAGCATCCTACAACGGCGCAGCGGATGCAACCATCCTCATAGAATTTGGGTCAGGCAACGGCGGTGGGTGGGGTTGGGGGTGGTGGGGGTGGTGGTAAGGGCGATGGTGTTGGCGATACCAACCAAAACAATGATTTTACGACACATGGCTTGAAGCGTAATGAATACGGCACTATGAACCTACCCAAGTCCAACAACTAGGTTCCCCAGAGAAAAACACGCCAACCAACCCCACCCTGGATTTTGAGAAATCCTGGTGTGACCTGGAGATGACGATTTGCAACTTTCGTGGCTTACCTCGCACAAGACATCCACCATTGAGCCAACATGGGTACGGGCGGGCATCTGTAAATGCACACATAGCTACACCATATTTGTACTAAACACAAACACACAAACACACAAACACACACGCACACACGCACACACACACACACACTCCTGAACCGTGCCAGAACACCATTCCTGGAACTCAAACGCCGCGAATCAACGTTACCGTCGTGTCCTGACTATCCTTCATCGTGCCAACATACCATTCCTGGGTCTTCGACGGCGCGAATTGAAATTACTACTGCGCCCTGATCATCTTACACGTGTCAAAACACCATGTCTGCCACGTCAACCGTAATAATCCTTGGCACAGTTGCATGCCCTGAAGACGAATGCGCACGGCGCTGAAGCGAGAACAACATTTTGCAAAGGTGCGATCCTCCATCCGTGAAGCTCTTGCAAACTCTGAAGACGAATGTGCGCGGCGCTACAGAAAGAAACACATGTTGAAAACCACCCGCTTTCCATCCGTGGAGCTCTTGCAAACTTTTAGGACGAATGCGCGCGGCGCTGGGGTGAGAACCGCATTTTGAAAACGGCCCGCCCTCCACCCGTAAAGCTCTTGCCACCTTCTGGGACAAATGTGCGCGGCGCTGATGAAACCACTCGCCCTCCCTCCGTGAAGCTGTTTGTACATTTTCTGTTTAGTTAATGATCGTGCACGTTGAGGAGATCTCCATCGACACGCCCTGCCCACCCTGCCGAAACGCCTCGGGGCACGACAGGTAAGAGTTCTTTGTAAAGAAAAGTGAAGGAAGAAGAGGAGGAGGGAGGAGGGAGGAGAAGGAGGAGGAGGCGGGGGAGCGGGAGGAGGAGGAGGATGAGGATGAAGAGGAGGAGGAGGAGGAAGATGAGGGAACTCGGAACTCGGGGATCCTGAAAGACCGTCACACAGGACGGCACTGCCGGGGATGTGCAAGACACAGTTCGTCTTGCGAAGATGAGGGAGGAGGAGGAGGCGGAGGAGGAGGAGGACGAGCAGGAGGATGAAGAGAGGGCGCGAGCGGCCCCGCGCGCCCCCGGGGCCTCGTAGAAAGACCTGCGCCCCTGCACCGCCACGCGGCGCTTCAGCATGCACCGCCGCAGCTCGTCCTCGTCGGGCGGGGGAAGTTGACGGTGGCCCAGAGTTAGGATGATGTAGCGACGATTTTTGTCGTCCCGACGTATCACGCACTGGTGCGAAGCAAATGCCCAATCGCTCCGTTCTCGCTTGAAGAGGGCCCTTAGCCACCACCCCGTTTACTAATGCCCCGTTTGCAGGGGCTTGGGAGACCCGATGTCACGAGCACAAATTTTGGAGTCCCGAAAC